TTATTAGTTTGTTATAGTGCAACTGCTGAAGTTGAGTGTATCGGTAAAGTTATATTCAGAAAGAATAAACCAGTTTTATTCAAGAAAGGACTTGTGTCACTAAAGTTTCGTCGGAACTAAGTTACGGAAAATTAATTAACAAACGGAGACGTAACAATATTGTAAATATTTTATCTTGAAGAGGGGTTTGTGTCATGATATAAGAGACTATTTGGTTTAAATATTAGTGATTAATTTATATTTGTGAGTGAATATTTTTATTATTTTTAAGTTTTGTTATAATAAGAGTTAAAAGCAGACGACTGTATAAGCTTTTGTTAATAACTAATTATGTCGAGAATATAGAAAGTGGCCACACGACTATGTAATAAAGATATAAATCACATGGGACGAGCGGGAAGCAGTAGACAGACAACAATAGACAGTTAATAGCAAAAAGAGAATATAGTTGTGTGAAGTTAAGTACCGCAAAGGTGATAGACCTAACGTTTAATATGAGTAAAACTAACAGTATAAAAAAAGATAAGAATGATAATTTTATTCCATCAAAGCATGGTTCTAAAGTAATTGAATAGGCCTAAGTGGACTTTTGACAACAAGAGAACTATATATAAATAGTGTTTATGATATGCATATAATCTCTATATTGTGAAGACTTTGTTGTACATACATTTAACTTGTACCGAATATATATATATATTATTTGAAAACAAGTCAAGTGTGTGCTGTTTATTCATCGTTGAATTTATTGCTAACAAGTCACATACACCTATTGTAGAAGAATCCTAAGCCCAACAACAACACAGTATGTATTTATACTATTAAGAAATATAAGTAAAACTAAAAGCCATTCATTTCGACAACTGGCTAAAAGACGAACTTATATATATATATATACATATTATTTTTAAAATCTGACACAGTGAATAGCCCAACTCAAGAGAAAATGAATGGAAAGCAAGCCTAGGAGTCAATTTATAGCTCTAGGAGTTTGATATGAGCCAGTGGTCCCACTACAGATGAAAAAGTTCAACAGTCTGAGTGGCATAACATCCTATAACCAGTAAGTGAGATAATTGAAAAGAGAAATGAATCCAAAAGAGGTGGATGAAACAAAATCCCTAATTACCATATTGTAATAACTGAATGAGTAGAGCTGAAAGAACAAAGTTTCCAAAGAAATAGGAATTAGAGAAGTCATCCTAAGATATATTTTATAGGGTACAAGAATCTATTTTTAAGGAGGAAGAATGGTTTTGGCTTAAATAAAAAGGATTTCTGCAGGAGCCAATATCTTCGAAAGAGAAGGAATATCAAAGTATAGATAGAAAAATGAGGATAAAACTTAATTAACCTAATCCTCCAAACAAACAAAATGCTTTTGAGTAGTCTCAATGTGACCAAGAAAAATCATAATGAAAACTCTGAAAGCAATGCAGAACCAATTCACAGAAAGGTATTTTAATACCCAAGAATAATCTGCAAGGAAAAGCCAAAGTAAATTTAGTTATCCATGTAAAAATAAAAACTATTTCAAAGAAATAAATCCATAAGGTAAAAATCTGAAAATCCTTTGTAAAGATAAAAAGAAATGTACTTAAAATCATTCCAGATTAAAAAAAAATTTCAATTACATATCTGAAACTTCTACCTTTGACACTCAGTAATCAACACAGATGATTAGATGGAAACCTTCACACTGAAACAAACATTGACAAGATGAGAATTAAGAGAAGGCAGATTTATAATGGAATACCATGCCTAGTGGTGAGTAAAGAACTAAACAAACAGCTCAAATTCCTATTTTATTTATTTGCTTTCCTCTTCTAAGCAGTACTGATGAGCCACAAACTCTACAAAATAGTCTACTGCAGTGAGAGTAGTGAATCAAAGAATAGATTATACCTCTACATTATCTTTTCTTTACTAAAGTTCACATTTTAGTGAGGAAAAGTAGTTCATAAATAAACATCTAAGGTTGTTAATATAATGAATACTCAGGCTTTGGGCAAAATGCAGCACCTATATTCATGTTAATATTAGCTGTTTTTGCAGCTGTATACAAAATGAATTTTCTCTATTCGTCCAATTCCTGGTAGTTTTACAGGTGCAAAAAAAACCCTAGTATATCTGATTAACTACATGAATTACCAGTTTTTATATTTATGGAAAGATCTACTACATCTTTGTATCTTAACTGTTAGCAGATGTTACAGCTATGGACAACTCCCGTTATCTCCTGTTACTTATTAGCAGGTATTACAAATAATGTACCTATAAATTCCCTTGTTCATGTATCAACTTGCATCAACATGAAATAAATGAAGAGCAATTAATTATACTCAAGTGTCTTAAGACTGATGCTCTACCTAGCAAGTGATTAGGCCTTCAAGACTTCACTATTAACCAGATTCATTCAAAATATTAATCCATAATTAATAACATAGTTGATTTCATTTTATCTCCCAAATATGCATTAACAATAATTAAAATAATGGTTAGTTTTCAGATCAAAAGAAACTTGCAATCAAATGAGGCAAGAAAAATACTATTACCTTCAACTTCTTTACATTTGTAACAAGTTAAAAAAATGTTGATTACAAATGTATAAACTAGTCCATTTGGCTTACTTCTTAAAATGACAATTCTACATCATATCCAAATTTTAAAATCTTCAAATAATTTCATTCAATAAAAAAGCTGTAAATTAACAATTTTCCAATGACATTTATTATTACTTATTTTTATTTTGAAGAGAGCAATCTGATGAACAACAAGCCAGTGTAAATATGCTACTGAAGGCAAGGTTAAAAACTTGAAAAGGAGAAACCAGAAAAAGTAAAAAGGGTGCAACTCAGTTTAAGAATAAGGCCAGAAGTTCAGAAAGATATGAAATGATTTTTCAGGTTATACTGTCACATTAGGTTATCACTTTTGTTTGATTTTCACACATACTAAATCTATTTTTGAGTAACAGTTGAATCTAAATCAATTGAATGTTCAAGATAGTCACATAATCTAACAAAAAAGGGGTGTTGTGCAGCATCAAACCAACAATGGTAAAAGACTATGGCTGACCTACTGCTGTGTCTGGCTATGGAAAAGTGGACATTTCAGAAATTTAAAAACAAAAACAGACAAGCAGAAAATGGTCATGATCAGCTGCTAGTTAGTCATATTATGAGCTGAAAGCAACATTTTCTAACATGACTGTTGAAATTTATATAACAGGCAAATTAATTTTCATTTGAAATTTGTATCCAGCTAGAAAATTATTGCATTCCTACCTTCCAAAGTGTGATCTCTATGTTTTATAAAATTTTGCTATATGATGTCTTTTATTTATCAATGAAAATACCCAAAAGATAACTAGTAATAAACAGCAAGTAAAACAGATGCTAATGTTATATAATATAGCTGAATTATACAACAAAATATTTAATATCTGTTTATATACTTTATAAAATGAAATGCTGAAAAGTTTAGTTTTGTATCAACAGCAAGTGCACATTGCTTTAAATGTATGGAAAACATTGGTGAAAAATAATTAAAATAATAGGGTTGCATGCTCACAGTGGGGACCAAAAACTAATATGTTGCTTAAGCTCAAACTTCAACTAGAAGTCTTCAACATTTTTCACTTCATGTACCTTTTCACTGTCTGCAATGTGGTGACATGCTGCACAACACCTTCTACTATAGAAAATTAAGAAATCTGAGCTACATGCAAAAGCACTAAGGGCCAATACCAGAATCAGATCATCAGCAGGGTCACGTGGGCGTTTCTTGCTGACCAAGGTTTCAACCACGTGTGGCTAATTAGTATGCAGAGCAGTTGATGGTGATTGGCAGGTGCCAGGGGTGGGCAGTAGGTGACAGCACATGACACAGCAAGCAGCAAGGCGATGAAAAGAAACCAAAACAAAACAGCAACAATTACAAGTCAGCTCACTGAATCCAACATGCATTAAAGAACCAGTCCTTTAAATGTACAACTATCAAAATGAAAAAGGAGTCAGATATTAAGGCTGTAACTATCTAAGTCACAGAGAGCTACAAAATATGAAATAAAAAATCTACAAAAAATATATATTTGTACTGATTTACTATAAGTAAATTTCAAAATATTTTGGTGCTCTGATATTTTCTAACTACTAAGGACTAGCTTTCAATACTAATTCTGAAAAAATTAGAGAACCATAACAATATTAGCATGGATCACAGGAGATGCTGACACACAAGGAATAGACATAATCTAGAAAGTATACAAGAAGAACTATGTAATAATATTCAAATTATAAATAAAATTACTGAAAATTTACACAAAAACACACCCACTGTCATACCACTGCAATCATTACAGAATAAAAAAAACTTCTTACAACTTTCACACCCTTATACCTAAAGTAGAAAATACCGATTTCTTGTAGTAAAAGTTAGGACAAATAGTTAGGATGAAATATGTTTGATCTAACTCTTTTCTCAAGTTTTTCAAAGAGTGAATAATCCGATTTGTTGAAAATATATTAATATGATATCAGATATATACACACTGAAAAATCAGACACTAGCACATTCTTTCAGCCAACTTAGTTATTTGGAAAATGCATACAACTTGCAAACAAAGTTATCATAAAGACCTATTACTAGTATATATTGTGAAATTATATCTAAATGTATAAATATTTAACTTTGTGAAAATACCTTAACAGTAAAAAAATTTTCCGGCAGTCTTGAATAGTTCAGTTAGGACCTAGAATATGCTTTTTCAGTAAGAATGAAATCTAACTTGGAAATATAGTTTACTAAACAAATAATTGTGTAGCGATTATATTTAAATGTTACTTTCTAGATGGCAAAAAAATATATATAATGGACATATAACACATAGGTAAATTTTATCAATTTATATAGAATAATTACATCTAGTTTATTTCATCATTCCTTAACAAAACCACAAGTATCACCTAAAATTTTTTCTAAATATGAGATGGCTTCTATTTCTTTTTAGAAACATTCTAAAATTGAAACAAAGATAATGACACTAATTACTTAACTGGTTTTAGCATCTTGGCAAATTACAATATAAGAATTAAAGTTTTATGTTAGGGAATAGTAAAGATATTAGTGTAAGCAATAAAAAAAAACAGATAATAAGGTAAAAAATAAATAGGCTTAATGAACTTTTCTTTCCATCACCAGGGGACAACTCAGTGTAGCAGTCAGATGCAGTTAGATATCTATGAAGATCATTCCCTGCTCAATAGCTCTTACTAACTTCGAAAGTTAATCAAACTATTAGAAAATATTACAGCCAAAATGAACAAGGGTGTAAAAGTAATTACAAAATCTTATAGCAGCAACATATTATAATGGAATAAGTATTCTAAATATTTCTCATTATTCTCTTTGTGAAAGCAAATTCTACGTGTATTTTTATTATTTCTGTATCAACTATAAGTTAGAAAAGTTTATTGTGGAACCTTATTTTGTGTTTAAAATACAATAATACTAATGTCAGTTACATCTCTAAGAAACAATCGTTGTTGCTCGAATGCATAGTTGTTTCAGCTTAAATATGATACATTACTAAACCTGTAAAACCAGCCTACATTTATTGTATGCTAATGCTAAAAAGTTATTATTAGCTTCTGCACATGACTTTATTCATGTGTGTTAAATAATCAATTACTGGTAAGTCCCAGTTACACATTTTGGTCTTGTATGTTTAAGTAGTATTAATAAATATGTAAGATGGCAATTTACATTAATTTTACCTTAAAACAAAAATATTCTAAATCCCCTGATGTTAAATCTGTTGCTATTGCATGTTAAATATATTTTGTTCTGAGTTAAATATGTATTTATTCTATGTTTTAAAATGGATCTAAATGTATGCTAAATCAAAAGTTACATTTCTAATTATTACATGTCAAAAATACAATAGAAAAGTCCTAGCACTATATCTATAGTAATTTTTGTTGTCACTTAATGAATAATGAAAATCAAATTATTGCTAATAATACATATTTCTTCAACCTAAAATTCATTTAAAAATTAAGTTACATATACACACACACATATCCAACTTTATTGTTTCTCTATGTGGCTACAGCTATGATTTATTCAAATAAAATCAAGTTAATCTTAGAGCAATGGGATGGGTCCAATTCTAACATGAGGTTGAACAAGATATTTATTATGAAGTAGTACTAGCCTTAAAAGAACTGAGTTTTTGAGAATGCAATAAGGAGACTGGACAAAGTGTAAGATACAAGTAATCAATCTTTATTTCTCAACAAACACAAATGCAGTGTGAGTGCTTGTTTTAAAGATTAGGTATTCTCTACTGATCAGGCCCAAATCATTTACTAGACTGTTTAAATTCAACTTTTCTTATTTTGCAGATAATGTCAGATATATCCAGAGCAAACAGCACTACCCACATGTCTGGTCATTTTCATGCAAGTGTAGGGGAGGCCACATAACCTTGAGTTAGTACCTGAACTATCAATGAAAGACCATGATGTCTAAATTATTGCACAATATGCAGAATTACACCAGGTATCCAAGGGAAGAAAAGGTGTTACCTCAGTTGAATGACAAAGAACAAATGCAGCTAAAATTACTTTATGACTTTCTTCACTATGTGTTATGTGAAAACTACACACACTCAAAAATAAACAATAAATTCAGAATAATACTATATTCGAATAGGAAGGTAGAAATGTACCATGGTATATTTATATATCACACTTCCTCTCTTGGAAACTTGTTCTCAAGTTGACAATTAATTTTAACTTTAAAATCAATAAAATGTGAACTCATACCTTGGTCAAGGAATATGTAAACTTTGTGTTGCCCCCTATAAACACTCATGAGCAACAAGGATAACACAATCTTCAGACACAGAATTACAATTTAAACGTTGCAACACAATATCATTTACCAAAGATTGAAGAACATTCTACAAAACCTTTTGACAATGACATATAGAAACAAATTTATTTAATTATGCTAAATGCAAATTAAACTCTTTTCAAAAAACAAAAGAAACTGTAAAAAATAAATAACAGGACAAAATCACAATTATCAAATTAACCCTTGTGAAAAACAAAACATATACGAACATTAACACATGCTCTGTTAAATAAAATCCTTGTAAAACATAGTAAACATTGCAATATAACACACACAAAAAACTAACCCTTTAACATCAAATAAAATTTGCAAACAACCAACAACCATGTATAAAATACAAAATAAAAAGAAAATTTAGACAGATATAATTTAAATAAAATACATGTATAAAAAGTAAAATACCTTTTAGCAATGATATTCAATCTATACAAGATCTTTTGACATAGATCAATTCCAGACTTATATTATATATAACAAAATTATACCAACTCCAACTCAAAAACAAAATAAATTATGAATAATGGTACAGAACATGTTACAATAGACACTTTTTTAAAAAATCAAGCAGAAAGGTTGGTTGCTGTTCCTGGTGTTACTGGTATTTTCCTTGGCTTCAGGATATACATTTGATGTCTACTCTTCACTGTGGTGAAACATCATCTGATGGGAAATCTCAGAAGAGGTTCTGGATGTCTTAACATCTGCTTTGCTTTCTTCTTGAATACCAAAGTTGTGGCTCGCAGGCTCATCTAAACTGGCAATGAGGCAGTACCTGGTTCCTCCATAGTTGTCACTGGTACTCTGTCTGATAAGGGCTGAAGTTCCATGGATGGAAACCCTTATTATTTGGCCTGCCCACCCATAGGAGATGTTATCACCAGCCTAATAACTGACTTGATGAAAACCAAAATGATAAATGCATCAGCCAGAAATGCATTTTCATCCATGGGTTCTACCGGATGGAAGGTCAGGGTATTCCAGGCTTCTTTTGGTCACTAGAGAAGTCCAGCTCTTTACCAAACAGGAAATCCTGAGCATATAATTTGTTACCAAAACATTTTCCCTCCATGGCAGCTTAGTTAAAATGGAGGCTTCAGCACACAAAAGGATGGAATTACTACTGGCTATTTGAAGAATAAGACAACCAAAATAGTCATGAATTTGATCATAAATAGCAAAAGTCTGGATTGACAATGTAAAGTCATATAAATTCCAACTGACCAGGTGTGTTGGTTGAAAAAGGGTCATAATGCTCAGTTAGTAAAAGCTCTACTATTTTACTAAAACTACTTTCAGAAAGAGTAATGGATTACCTTTATCAAGCATCATTTATATGGGCTCCATGTATATTCACACCCTATTTACTCTTAGAAGATGTCTCTAATGTCTATAAATTTCTTTGTCCCCAGGATCCATCAGGTCTCTCCTTGACCAATATCTTATAGCAATACTGTCACCTTTTGCCAATACTGTGATAACAGCCAACAATAACCATCTCATTTTATAAACAATACCCCATTCTAATAGAATGGTAATGGGATCGAGACTGTACAACTGGTTATTACACACAAGCTGATTCAGGTTAGGCAAAGCAAACTTTACTTTTGACTGTCAAAATACACCAACTCTTTCATAACCTCTCCCACATACAAGCTTAATACTAGCTAAGTGTGGTTTTTCAAAATTTCACCACTCCAATGTTACTTTCCATGCTCCAACTAGTATATTTTCAGCCTGAATTTTCATGCATCTTATACTGCACATTGAAATAATGTTAATAAAATATTTAGATAACTGTGTGCTTATGAAAAATGGCCCGGCATGGCCAGGTGGTTAGGGCGTTCGACTCGAAATCTGAGGGTTGTGGGTTCGAATTCCCATCCCACCAAACATG